AATTAGAGGTAAGATCTTAAGACCGAGCCCAAGCCCGACCCGACCCGAGGTCTAAAATGTCAATCATTACTTCGGGTCGGGTCGGGCTCGGGCTCGGGCTTCAAATAAATATATGTTTATAAAATGTATGCTAAAACGATGTGTGGATACTAAACTAAGGAATACTTGTTATAAAATAAATAATATGGATAAAACAGAGAAGTAATGTAATGTAATTGCTATTTAACTACTAAACAGGATCCGCAGAGCCAGAGCTCTGCGCACGTGAGCCCCCTCTTAATTTAATAATCTTCCCCTCCGCAAGTCTGCATCTATTTTGACCTGGTATCCCCAATATGGAGGAGCAAGAAGTTAAACTAAAGGCAGGAGAACTGAAAAGACAAACACGCACCGGTAAGAGTCAGGTGTGGAAAAGCTTCAAATTTATTGTTGAAAATGCTACAGAAACTTGCGTTGGCTTCGCTGAATGTCGTCAATGTGGCACTTTGCTTTCATACGAGAGCAAAAAGACTGGCACCTCGACGCTGAGCACTGCTCCTCCTCCCGAGTCCTCACAAATAAAATATGACATTTCGGGTTTGCTTCGGGCTCGGGCCTGCAAATCAAGTTAATTGGTCGGGCTCGGGCCGGGTCGGGTTTTAATACCCGCGGGCCGGGTCGGGTCGGGCTGGATTTTTTAGGCCCGATCTCACCTCTAATGACAATCCCTCCACCAGAAAATGTACATAGTGTATCTTGAGGCTTTGTTTTTTAAAAAAGGCTAAAATATTAACACCAAACATTCACCTTTTGTTAAAATAATTGTAGAATGGAGTCCTATGCCTAAATATAACCCCATAGTTTTTGTCTGATACATTGAAAAAGTAGAAGAAAATGGCTGAATGAAACTAGTAATAAAATATAACAAGATGAAAACTTACCCACACTTGATTCTGACAACTTTAGGACAAACCCATAATTTGTCTATATTTTCCTGAATAAATGCAATGAACTTTTAAAATGCATTAATATTTTTAAAAAGCACAGACTTATAATATTATATCAAGGTGACTCGTTCGTTCTGGATAAATAACTAGAAGTCTCTGCCTCTACAATAACAATTTTCTGAAGTTTTGCTTTCCCAGCACCTCCTCTCTAAACACATGCAGTCTCATGCCCTTCTCCTCTTTATCATTCATCTCTTTGAAATCAGCTATTAACTCAGTGTGCTCCACTTCTCCTGCCCTAGACGGAGAGAGTCTGCTCGCCTCGCTCTCCTCCTATGCTCCTGGGACAGCCTCGCTCGCCCTCGCCCAGACGCCTTTTAATCATTTATTTAGGCCCGTAATGTTAAGTTCGGCTCAGCTGCGTCGGAAAGAGGGGGAAAGAGAGTGGGTGAAGAGAGGAGGTGAAAAGCCTTGAAATCATGAGCATTTGTTTATGTCTAGACTTCAAGAGCCACTTTGTATCTCGCACCCTCTCTGTCTAGTGCTTAATGCTGGGTGTTGTTTATGTTAGGCGATTATGTGGTGTTGGAACATTCTCACTTTTAATTTTTATCTCTCAAAAGGCTTCAATGAAATATTAGTCTTGTGCCAGTGAATACATTATTTTGAAATTTTGATCAGTGCCCAACTTTAAAGCTGCAATATTATGCAAAACTGACTCTTGAGAGCTTTAAGCCATGTTAGAATGTACCTTAAAAATATACCTGGAGTTGTCTTTTGTTTCATACACACATTTCAGTAACCCTGTCTCACAAATCCAGGGTTGAAATGATCCGAAAGATTCTAGTGACACAACGGAGCACTTCCTGTATTACCACATGATATTACAAGGTTGAACAGATTTTTTTGTTTAAGAGAAGAACTCAGCCTCCATGTTCAGTTGTCCAATATGCATGTTTTTGTGTCAAACATGTGTAAATGAAATGAAACACAACAATACTGAATAACACACACAAATAACACAATATGTTTTTGATCAGGTAACAACATTATAACATAGATGAGAAACTAGGGTAACTTGGGCCCTTAAATCACTACTGATTCAATTACTTTGAATGCATACTTGACCATGTGTAATCCCTCAGTCAGTGTTATTGTTGTTCATGTGGATTATTTTCTCTTATTAGATGAACTGTTTTGTAATTCTGGATTCTGAAGGTTTTGTAATTCTGGATAACATTATCAGGAAAGACATGGACCAAGCAGTATTACTGTAATTTAGCAATGAAGGATAACTATTTTTAGTTGCTCAATTTGAAATCAGAATTAAATATAGTTTTCTATCTTAGTGCATTTGACCCTAAATTAGAGAATCCCATGCTAAAATACATATTGTTTTAGCTGTAGTTTTAGTTCCGGTTGTTTATGCACATGCATTTCGCTTTAATTCAGAATGTAGTCAAATATTCAGGCCCTTCTTTTAGATATAGCAAGGCCATTTACAATTATAATAGATGGAACACGATTTTGTTAAACTAATCATCACTGACCTTTATCTAACTATTGCTTTAACACTCTTTAAAACCTTGCTATATGATCTTTGCCTGCATCTTAGCAATGTCTGCGTTCGTATTATTTGTGTTAGTAATGTCTTACTTTAGTTCAGTTAAAAACGCTAAATGTATGTCAGTTTATATGATTGATTTTTCTAGCCATTTATTATTTTATTCTGCAAACCATGACATACACGAACAATGCTGGCTTGTGAGGTTTGGGAGGGAACATAAAAAGTGCCCAAACTTTTAACTGTTGTTCACCAAACCAGACTGCAGATCAATGTGGGCTATTAGGGACTGTGAAACCAAAGTCTCGGCCCAATCAATGCTGAATTGTTTACTCGTTAGCGTCCCCAAAGACAGTGTTAGTCTGGAAGAAAACATGCATGCTCCACAGGAAGACAAGGTTTGGCAAAAAGGAGGAAGTGCACAACAACTTTTCCAAATCAAATGTCAGTTCTGCTTTCGGTGTAGTTCTCTCTGTGGATTTGACTTTGTGACTTAGCGGCTGCTTTCGGTAATTGGATGCACCCTGCTTTCATGGCTATTTCTGTTTCATACTGGTTTACTGTTAAAAGTAGCTAGAAAAGGTATTTGATATTTAAAAATCAAGAACCGGTGTGTTGAGCTGTAAAATGTTACTATGTCAACATTTCACAATATGATATTATCTACCAGTATCCACAGCAATATTGGAAACGCTAACATAATTGTAGAAATGACATTTTAAAATGGCCTAACAAGACCAAAGACTTCTGTACAGAAATAGAACAATGTCTCATGGTCTATGTGATTAAGCACAGGAGCCTATAATTGGTCATTGTTTTATCCCTATTACTTTATATGCCAACTCAATTTCAGAGACTTATCAACTGGACAAAATAGGGGGGTTCAATTATGTTTTTTTTTTTTTTTTTTTTTGGCCCTTCTTTACCTTATCAGCTATGATATCATGCTGCTTTAAATGACAAATATTAAGTAACAACATTAAAGGTGCATTGTGTAACTTTTTTCTATGAATATGTCATTGCCCTGCCTGGAATGTTCCACAGTATGACATTAAACAGCTCTACCTTGCATTTAATTTCAGTGTTCCCCACAGAAAATTGGTTTGGCATTGGGTAGGAGTGGGGGGAGGGAGGTGCGTGGAGATTCCGTCTTGCACGGAGAAGAAGTGAGGACCGTAGTTTTGCGAGGATTCACGTGGTTCGGAGAGACATAGTGAAGGCATTCTGACTGGGAGCAGGGTTGCCTCTCTACAGATCTGAATTGTAACTTGATCTGGTTTGGTCTCCATGTAGAGATAGAAAGGTGTAATACCATACTGTGAAACATTCCAGACAAAGCAATAACATCTCCATGGAGAAAAGTATTTGATGGACCCTCCAATATAAAAGTTACACAATGCACCTTTAAATTTCCTTCTTTTGACCATCTACATACTGGCCGGTTTCCTCCATGCCTCTCCATAGCTTTTGGTTTCCTCTTCTCTTTGGCTCCGTGCTGTTTTGGTTATCGATGAGGGCCACAAATGCCTTCCTTCCTCTCTCTCTCACGACAGATGTAATTTTGTCACTCTCATGCACAGCGGCGTAGCTCTGCAGGGTGTAGCTTTTTGGTCCGGTTCACTTCCTGTCTCTCTCTCCCCCCATTTTCAGGAAAATCAACAGGCGGCCATTTTTCTCACGCACTCAGTCGGGGTCAGGTGGGCTACAACGGCTCACTTTTATCCTCAGCCTATGGGCACTTTGTCTTCAAAACGCTGCCCAATAAAATATGAATCAAAGAGGCTCCTCCAGGCGTTAGCTTTGCCTTGGAAGACGAGTTGACTCAATTTGAATCCTCGGGAGGTCAGCAGTGCCCACTCTGTATAATACCAGCAATATCATAATGTCTAATGGACTGTCAAGGCTACAGACAAAAGGCAGTGAGTGGAAAACAGGTTCACAGTAGTAGGTTTCTAGTAGCAGTACTTCTTTACTGGTGGTTTAGACTTTTAAATATTCTGGCATGATTTTGTTACATCTAAACATATTCAGACATTGACCATATGGATTACTATATTTCATTGTTCTAAAAAAATATTTTTATTATTTATATTAAAAAATAGTTTTCTTTTGATATCTTTTCTTTTCGTTTTTTTTTTTTTTTTTTGCTGTTTACATTTGATTCAAAGTAACTGTATTGCTTATCATTACCATATATTATGCAATTATCTTGATTATCAGTTATGAATTAAAATTATCTACATACATTTGCATAACACAATTGATTTCATTACAGTATTTATTATGCATGAAATTTTCCACTTTTTTACACCTTCTAGTACATTGTTGGTTGGTGCTATTGAACAATATGTAACTTTCTTTTCTTCTTCTTTCTCAAAAAATACATAATAATACCAGGATACAGTCCAAACAAAACATAGACATACTGTTCTATCTTACTGTAATCTTACCATCGTTGTTACCATTTCTTTTCTTGCCTTAACCACTCTCCCCCGTCTTTGTCTGTACAGGAGCAGAGTCCCAGTAACGCCACATCCCTGTCCATGATGCAGGAGCCCCAGGAGGTGGTGGAGGAGACGGTCACCATCGAAGAAGATCCCGGGACGCCCACCTCTCACGTCTCCGTGGTAACCTCTGACGATGGGACCACCCGGCGCACTGAAACCAAGGTACTAACATGCCCGAAATTGTTACCTCTAAATAAACCAAGTCTTTCCTGAACTAAAACAACTCTCTTATCAGACTAAGAAGCATTCCGCATTGTTTTGAACTTTTCTACTTTCTAAAACCCATTAACTGCCCTTCATCCATGTCATTACTGCTTTAAATTATTTCAATATTGTCTAACCGGATTACTGCATCCACTCTACACAACACTGTGCCTTCCCTCCAACTTTTTAAGAACTCCAAATCCCATAATCCTTCAGTCCAAAACACTTTGAGTTTTTGACCAAGTGTTTTTACTATGGGCCACTCCACTGGTGAGTTTCCTTAGCTGTGTGGTACTTAGAAAGCTTGATTAGTGATTTGTCTTTTGTTGTGTTTTGTCGTTTTTCTGAAAGGATATGTCTAACAACTTAAAGGTGAGTGAATTTTTCCAATACATTTTTTGCCAACAACCAAAATAGCTTTCACACTCCCATTTTAATATGCCCATATAAGCTACAGCAGTCTCACAAGCTTAGCGCTCCAAACTCACGGCTTCAGGGATAGTGCATTTGCTACAGTATACTGTTTAATTTGCATGCCCCTCTTTTCTACCTTTAATGCAGCAATGATGCAAATGGCAATAGCAATAACTTTTACACCATGACGCCTTTTAATAACTTCCAGACATTTCAAAAGACCCCTGAAGTATGGGACCATCTCATGTGGCTGTAACATGCTTGGTTTTAGGCTTGGGAAATTAGTGCAGTAATGCTTCCAAATGTCACTCACAAGCTTTATGAACTTCCAAACCATTTAATCAAACTACCATAATGTTTACATATATTATGTTATATGCAGTCACTTTATCTCTTTAATGTTTAGAACTAAAATCATTCAAATATGCTGGTGATCTTTCCAAATGCAAAAAGTGAGTGGCTCTCAACTGATCAAATAATTTCCCCACCTTTTTATTTGCAAATTGAATTTAATTTACATTGCTATAACCTTATATTCCTGCACCATGTCTATTTAATGTGCATTTTGGTAGTTCCAAGCCTAGATAATTTGATGGAATTAACTCCCTGTACTTGTTTTTTTCTACTCTGAAAACATGAACTAGTTTGCAGCGGTCCAAAGTTATTCCTCACTTACCTTATGCATTCTGAATATTCTAATTATTCACTTCAGTGAATTTATAAATGCTTTTCACAATTTTAAGAAGCCAGTCATGGTAATGCTGAAAACTAGCATGCTAATAGAAATAAAATACTATAAAAACTAAAAATAAAAACTCCTTATAATTAGATTCAAACAGTATACAGCTAACTTATTTTAACCTCACAAACTGCTTATACATTATAGCTACTGGTGCAAGACACATTTTGTTTAAATATATGGTAAAAATAGGTTGGCCATTAATAGCCACAAAAAGTGAAAAGAGAAAGATGATTTTGCCATCACCAGTAGAGAAACATTTAGCTCTGTATAATGCCTCAAATATGCATAAGCAATTTGTAAGCATAATCCAACTCCTCATCGGGGTGGTCCAAGTGCCCTCAAGCCTTCTCATTTGCAAGATGTGTGAAGAATTACATTATTTATAACCCAGACAAACAACAATAGCGAATACAAACTTTCCCCCTCTTTACAAACATTACAGTCTAGGTTTTACGCATTTGAAAAGTAAAGCAGAATAACTTTTTGGAAACTTCTTGTGGTGGCTAAGTCTAGACAACGCAGCAGTTTTGGAGAAATCGTGCCACTTGTGTTTTTCCTCTCAGGCTTTCAAGAGCTTGTTCCCAGCTTGAGCAGAGACTTTTACTTATGTGCTTATCTGTGTGTTTGAACCAAAATTGTGCCACAGTGTCTAATGTTAACACACTGCTTTGCCTTGATGGTTAATCCTGCTCCCACTGAAGGCAGATGAATCACTGGCGTCTTCCATCTTTTTGATTTACAGGAAAACACATCTTTCTTTGGTGTTTCTAGTGGATTTTGAGTCAGCATTTTCACACTTTTATGAGAACGCAAAAGGAGGGAAAGTACATCTGCTTATATTCTGAGAAATGTGTTTCCATGAGAACTATTACAAATGTTTAAAGATTAACCATCCAAGTTACAACCGTACAAATTACATTACATACATGAAGCTGGCTTTCAATGCACAAAGCTACAATGTTTTGACAGTCATTTTGGGGACATTATCCCTTTGAAAATAAATCATATTTTGATTGGTTTATTTCTATGGAGATCATCCACTTTTAATGTTTGTTTTGGTCCTAAATGAAAAGTGATTTTAAACATTCTGTTAAATTCTTAAACATTCTGTTAAATTCTGGCTCTAAATAAAACCATACAGTTAAAATGTTGATTATTAAATACTATTATAAAATCTGTATCACAATGAACACTTAATCTTTGGGACCATTTTATATCTACTGTATATTATATTAAAGATACACTATGGAATTTTTCTTGTGCTTTTCTCCATGAAGATGTTATTACTTTACCAGGATGTTTCACATTAGGGCATTAAATGCATCTATCACCCTCTATATTCTATATTTCTATTGTCATATCTTTAATGCCTTAATGTGGAACGTTCCAAGCAAAACAATACCATCTCCATAGAGACAAGCAGGTGGCAAACCCTCTTCCATGAAAACAGTTTACTTATTGCCCCTTGAACTCGCTCTGACAAATACCTCTTAAACCACATTTTATTTTTAGAAGTGATTCAATCTTGTGCAATTCAACCCTAATTACAGACTCTTACCTTTATCCCAGCATGCCCTTTTTCTCTTGGCCATTATCCATCCCTGTATACAGCTGGCGGGGCATCCAGAGTCGAACGCGTCATGTTGGTTTGGACTCAGAACTCAAGTCAGGCTCGTAAAAGTGCCTCTCCCCCCAGAACACAGCAGCTAATGAGTGAAGACAGACCACACAAACAAATAAAAGCACTTTCACTGCTCACCGCGCTACAGGGAGCAGACTGCAGCAGGTCTTTGTTAGTTATGGATGTAAAAAAAAAAGCCATATGGTAACGTCATTATACTAAAATGAATGCTTTACCATTGAGATCGTGCAGTTTAGGAAGTCTCTTAGGTGCACTATATAAACTGTGAAACATATACTAGTGTAACATAGAGTTTTGATATTTTATGAGGACAGCATAATATAGTGCAAATATAGAAGGGTAGTGCTTGGTTACATTTAACTTTTTGTACTTCTCAGAGAACTTTTCAGACACCATACATTTACTTCTACTTAATATAGTAATATATTTTACCCTGGAAAAGTACTCTTATACTCTAGTACTCTAGTAGTAATAGCGTTGGCTACTCATGCCATTATGAGTAAATCAAGTAAGAAACGTTTTATGTTGATGACATTAAATTATGAGAGATGATTTTGTTTTTCAAATTTTTGTAGTCTATTTTTTGGAAATAGCTGATTTAGAGCATTATTTAGATTAACAACAAATTTTAAATCTGATACATCCAGACAGTTACTATACACTTGAGTAATGTTATTTTGAAGTTACATTACTTGAGTCCATTTTTAGCGTTTCTACTCACCTCTGACTAATATGTGATAGTACTGTCAACCGCTAAAATATTCAAAAATTATTATGCACCAGTGGCATTCAGGAACTGAGGGTAAATCACTTCAATCTAGGAGGTATAATTGACTACAACGACTAAAACTGAAAAATCAAAGGGGATTGTGACAAGATAATGAATTTGGACAATGGTTTTAACTTTTCCTGCTAAAAAAGCCTTATTCTGTCCAACACTCTAAAAATTTTACTAGTCATATTATTACAGAATGGAATACAGTTATCACAGTTATGCATTTGAAATCATGAAGCCTGTCTCAGTGCTTTTTTTCCCATACTCCTCCTGCTCTAGGTGACTAAAGTGGTCAAAACCATCACCCGTCGAACCTACCATCCCGTGATCCTTTGCGAGGGCTTGACAGTGGAGTCCAGGCCAGTCACCCGCACCCCCACCCCGGTCTCTGTTTGTGAGGCCGCCCCAGCTGACACTGAGCCAGTAAAGAAACAGCATATGCATGGGACTGTGGTGCTCTTCTGTTTGATAAACTAACATTTACAAGTCATTTTTTAACTCCAAATTTTAGAGTGCATTTAAAGACTTAGATTTTGACTTAAAGAGACTTTATTGATCCAAAACGGAAATTATTTGAACATAGTAGCTTACACATCACAATATAATAACAAAAAGAAAACATATATGGTAAAAAATAAATAAAATAATAATAATTAATAGCAAAATAGCAAGAGACAGGGCATAATGTAACTTTGGGCTCACCACCTGCTTAGAGATGTATTATATTAAACATATCTCTCTTGCATGTAATCAAATACAACTGTTTTTACTGCTCCCTTGAAAAGTATGTATTATTACTGTGAGCAGGGTCGCCTCTCCACAGATCTGACCTGCAACTTGGTCTGTTTGTGTCACCTGCTTGTCCCTGTAGAGATGGACATTTGATGCCATACTGTGAAACGATTCTGGAAATGCATTAACCTCTTATCACCACAAAGGTTACACTGCGCACCTTTAAATCTGGAAATGTGCAGTGTCTTATCTAATTTGCAAAATTTTGTCATTAATTATTCCTAAAACAAAATACTGTGAGAGTGAAAAAATGCTTCAGCCCGATACAACACAGAATGCAAGATTGTCAGAAAACATACCTTGTACACTACTGACATTGCCAGTCATCATAGTAAAATTAGTGGGTTTAGCACAACAATTCCCATGCCCCACAACCACAAATGATAAGACTGAAAATGTATGCAGGAAGTGTTGGAGTGTTAGCGTATCCCCATTTAGACAGTGAGCCAACATTGCATAGAAACTAATCATTTGTGTTTCCATTTGTGAAGCCCATAATCACAGAGTTTGTAAAGTACAGAATTACTGCTGTGCCACTGACTCTGGACCACTGTGTTCACTTAAGCTCTCAATAAAATGCCCTCTGCTGTGCTGGTGAAACCCCTCACAGGGCTGTAAAGTGCACGCTTTGACGCCTTCTGTTTTTTCGTCCTCCTCCTTTAACAGTTTGGTCAACAGCTGAGACGTGTGACTAACTGCCTGGGATGGAGTTTTTGGTGTGTGTTTTTGTAATTGTGTGACTTAAAGATGTACTATGTAACTTTTCTGGTCATGGGTCTACCACTATAGAGATGTAATTACTTGATCTAGAATGTTCCACAGTAAGATTAAAACTTATCTAACATGCATTTATGCAATTACAGATGTTTATTGCTCGGAAAACCTTATCCAGTTGAGTCCAGTTTAGTCTTGATGTAGACTTAGATTTACTTATACTTCATTGGTTCACAAGGGAAATTACTCAGACACAGCCTCTGTATGGTCCTGTTCTAGGTTAGTCCTGGTCTAGCCTAGCCAGGATGGCGCCACCTAGTGCCTCTGTTCAATTTCATTTCTCTCTACCAACTATTTCAGGAATCAGAATATACTAGACAGTTTGCAAGAACCCCAGAACTTGTAGACTGTACACCGGCTAATCAGTCCCTTTGTGGTACAGCACATAGTCAACAAAGCGGTCGAGATCGATGTAGACGGAGCCATACATTACATGTGTTGGCAACAATTCCTGAGATTGAGGATTTAAAGCTGGAACAAAGAGAATGTTTGGTGAATTTTATCAAGATGAAAGACGTTATTGCCCTTCTTCCTGTGGAATTTGGCGCATTACATACATCACGACCAAATAGCAGCAATTAGTTAAATTAAAAAAGTATTTGCCTACCCTCAAGCGAATGAATCCTAATGCTGTGAGGTTTCCACGAAGTGAAACCGGCTGATGAATCAGGCTAGGTTAAGCCTAGGATTAGTTCTCAGATTTTTCCCAGTTTAGTCCCAATTTTGATGAGCTCTGTTTGTAACAGTGAACTCACCTTTACTGTGAGTGGGATCGCCATTCCACAGATCTGACCTTTAAGTTGGCTTGATGATGCCATTGGACATTCCAAGCAAAGCAGTTTGATTTCCACTGTGACAAGCAGGTGGTGGGCTCTCCACCAGAAAAAGTTACACAGTGCAGCTTTAAAAGTAAGAGTGCATTTCAGTTCAGTGTCAGTGGATCTAAAATGTGAAGCAAGTAATACTAATGATACTGTCATTATTATTTAATTCTCTAAATCTATCCCAGCTTTGTTCCTTTGTGTGTTGAGTTAAGGTTAAATTATGTCCATTACACTTCAAAGAGAGTTTGATTCAAGCCCCAGCTCCTTCTGTTCGTACATGACAGCCAAGGACGCCACTTGTAAAATGTGTTGTGTATTTTTCCTTGAAGTTCCGATTTATTTGAACCAGGCTTGTACACAGCTGTAGTAAATAGTGACTGTAGCTCAGTAACACTACATCATACAGTGTTATTTTAAGGGAGAAATAGGGAGAGTGAATTTTCTGGGAGTTGACATGCTAATAATATATAAATCTGTTCCTATTCAAAACAGGGGAAAAAAAGCCATAACCTTTAGCCAGTATAGATTTAAGGGCTTATATTCAACTATATCTGTCACCTGCTTCAATATAGAGCCACATGTCACATACACTAGCTCAACTAAAAGCCATGATAGTGACTTTATTTTGATTAAAAAATAAACAATACAGACTGTTAAAAATAAGGATATTGCCAGATGCGTATCACTGATGACAAATGAAATGATGAAACGATGACAGCCCTAGTGTAATTCAAAAAACACTTTACGATACAATAACATAACATTGACCTTGCCCATAGCTTCTCTGATCTGCTCACTTTGCAATACCATTAAAAAACAAAAAAAAACATCCCAACTGATTTACTCGAGGTTAAACATATGCTGTAGATGATTAAATGAATTTTATAAACAGTTATTTTTATCTGCGAAAATACAACAATGTAACAGCATCTCTCACAATGGGAAAATAAACCTTGGCTTAGCGCAGAAAGCGTCGTTATGGGCGTGCTGAGTCTAATCAAGGCCGCTGAAGTTTGTTTGTTCCACAGTTAATGAGGACGCCATATTGGAAAGCCCATATGTGGTTAGTGGTGTTTTTTCGCACCAAGGGTAAATGCCTCGTGGCTTTCTTGATATTATTACACGCTCCAGCTCGGCCCTGATTAGGATCTAAATTGTGGCGCTGATGGAGAAAATATAGAAAGCGTATTAAGAGAGATGGTGTTGCAAATTAAACTGATCGCATGCAGGAATGAGCCTTTTTGGTAGCTTCTCTCTTTAAGCTGAAAAATGCAATTTGTTCTGGTGCAGTTGCGCAGCATGGGTTACATGTAGCCTTTTCTATTCTATTTCATATGTATTCATTGCATATAATTGTCTTTATAGTGAGTGTCTTTTATGGTTTTGTTTTTTAATACTCCTAACAGACTGTAGACATAAATGGAAATATCTAACACGCTAGCCACCACATTCCAAATGGGGCGCAAAGAGGTTCCTTCGAGCTGGTTGCAGTTCACTTTCTAGTGTGGCCCCTCTCTCTGTAACTGCTGCTGAGCCCTGTCATTTTGGTCTTAAAATGTTCGTATTAACCCGCTTTACTTGATCTCCATGATGTTTTTATTCTATTCTGTCCATAAATCAAGATATGAACATTAATAATAGACCAATCTGATGCCTGCTTTTCTCAAGGTCCCTCCGACTAGCAATAGCAACAGGTTGACTGACAGCCTCGTTGCTAAGCGCCCACCCCCTGCCTACCCAGCGGTGCAAGCGAGACGGGGCATGTAACTGTTATTGTATTTTAACTGCTCAATGTGCTTGAATTGCCCCTCGAGGATAAATAAAGTTATATTGAACTGAACTGGCATTGACAATTGGTTATTACTAATTCAGCAGTTAGAATTACCAGAGGTCATGGCAATTATTTGTGCAAAAGCTTCTTGTATCACTCCACAGTTATTTCTACCTAAAGCCAAATAGAAATTTGGGAAGTAAAATGAAATTCTAAAGTCCAACTAAAAACTGCACATAATACTAAAACTAAATACATTAGCAGAGGGGGTAAATTATTCGGAAACACTTTTTCAGCCACAACATCGGAAGTATCAGACCCCCGCTGCTTCCGTCACTCCATTATTATAAAGCTCATTAAAGTTTGAGATGGATTTATAGCTGCAGACAAAATGGCCAATTATCAGCCACAGCAGAATTCACTGGCTGCAAATGAGCTTCTGTATTGGCAGGCAGTACAAAGGGGAGGTGAGTGAGGCAGTGTGTGATTCATAGGCACACTTTCATAGAGAGCGTATGGGTAGACAGCTTGTATTGTTAAAAGAAGTTAAAGTGTAAGATACATTTAGGGAGACAATGCCAGAAGATAGATGGTGAATTTTTGAGTGTTGTTGTAGGGGAAATGAAATGTTGCCTGGGTCCTTAACAGTTCACACTGATTAAGTGAATGTGTAAAAGGCTGTTGACCATTTAGGAAATGGACCAAAGATGCTAACTTTACTCAATAAAAAATTAAAAGTGCATTATTAATTTTTCTGGTGAAGGATCCATCAAATACTTTTCTCCATGGAGATGTTATTGCTTTGTCTGGTATGTTTCACAGTATGTTAGTAAACTTTTCTATCTTCATGGAGACCAAACCAGACAAAGTTACAGGTCAGATCTGTGAAGAGGCAACCCCACTCACAATAAGAATGCCTGTTTTTCTTAGTATTTTTTAGTTATAAAATCACATGTAATTGAATAAATGTAAGGTAGAGCTGTTTAATATCATACTGTGGAACATTCCAGATATCCATTGAAACAAGGAGGTGACAAGCCCCCAAAATGTTACATAGTGCACCTTTAAAATACTTTGCCTTTTAAGCTGTATTGGTCTTGTGATTCAATACAAAAATTATGATTAATTTGCTTTTTTTTTAACTTTTTTTTTTACTATGTCCAACTTAACTAAACTTTTACATTTTGCTCTATAAACTAAACTAAACTTGATTCGCAGTCACCACAGAGACTAATTAGTAATTTCTCATTTGCATATGACATTTGGATGGGAAGGTTGAGAAGTATTTGCGATTCTTTCCATTTTAAGTGAGTGTTGAAGTGTTCCTTTAATGTGTCTTGCATCTCATCATTTGAACATCTTAGGCACTTGGTGAGCGTTTTAATATCTTCTTATCTCTGTTTGCTCACTGGCATAAACAGGCTATATTTAGGAAAAACAGCACTGCATTCCTCCTTTATTTGCTCTCTTATTTTTTCTCCAAGGAATTTATAGAATGAATGTATCCTATATGTCTGGATAAGTACAATTACTGCTCATCCGTGCCAGGAATAAGTCTCTAAACCTGCTTTAATAACCTCCTTATATCAAATGGCCATGAGTAAACCACCAAAGGATATTGTACTAAGAAATATGAAAACTCCTTTCTGACAGATTGTGCCTTTTCTTTTATAGTCTCATTTTAAAACGTTCAATACGCTCTGTGAAATCTATATCCCCTCTGACTTTGTAAACACTTCTTACCACCTATTTTAATTAACTTGTCTGTTCCCTTTGCAGAGTGGCATATGGAAAAAATTGACATTTGTTATATCTTTTATTAAGATGGCCTTTCAGTGTCTATAGATACTTTTAATCTTGAAATTGAATTAATCAGAGGTTACTCGTGATTTAAGTTCAAGGTGCACTTTCCTGGTGGAGAAGGGTCTGTCGATTAAGTGTCGCCACACAGACTCTGTTTTGCCTGGAATGTTCCACGATATTGCATAAAACTTTTAGCCAGGCTGGCGCCACCTAATGCCTCCGCTCAATTTCATTTCTCTCCAGCGACTAGGTCAGGAATCAGAATACACTAGAAGGTTTGTAGAAACCCTGGAAGTCCCGAGTTCGGGCACCAGCCAATCAGCGAAGAGCCATACTTTCTGTGTTGGCAACGATTCCCGAGATCGAGGATTGAAAGCTGGAACAAAAAATGTTTGGGAATTTTATCAAGTGGAAAGACGTTATTGCCCTTCTTCCTACGGGATTTGGGAAAAGCTTAATATACCAGTTGGCTCCATTAGTGGCCAAATCATGACCAAATAGCACCGATTGGTTAAATAAAAAAGTACCCACCTACCATTGAGCGAACGAATTCTAGTACTGCATGGTCAGAGATTTCCATGAAGTGAAACCGGCTGATGAATCAGGCTATAAAACTATTTCCATGGAGACAGGCAGGACAAATTACAGGGCAAATCTGTGAAGAGGTGATCCCACTCACCGTAAAAATATACATTTTTCATGTGTAATTGACAAACGTAAGACAAGTTTATTGGCATACTGTGAAACATTCCAGGCAAAGAAAATACAACAGAAAAGTTACATAGTGCATATTTAGTGCATTGAAAGAATAGAAAAAATCTGCAAGCAATAATATCGTGGTCTATTAAACAAAATGATTCCAATCCATCCAAATTAGTTCACAGCTTTAACCTAATGTTGATATCCCTTTAATGTAGTTTTGGCAGGGTAGGGCTGCTGCATGGTTTTTAGTGTGCTTTGACATAACATAATCCTCTCCCATCACATTATATTCCCTGACATATCTTTGTCCTTCCCGACAGGTGACTAAAATGGTGAAGACCGTGACCACGCGGACAGTGCGACAGGTGCCCCTCGGCCCTGACGGTTTGCCCCTCCCTGACGGGACCTCCCCTCTGGGCAGCTACGACTCTATCGACCGCCGCTACATGAAGAACGGCGGCTACATCACCCCTCAAGCTAGCTCCACCCTGACGCGCGGCTACACCAACTCCTACAATGACTCGTACGCAGACACCCCCGAGAGCCAGTACATCCGCCACTACGGCCTGCACGACGGTTACGCAGATTTGACTGACAACTACGGCAGCCTGTCCCGCGGAGTCAACTACCGACCCCCGCGATACCCCTACATACCGAACAGCTACCGTCCCGAGAACAGCTACACTTTACCGATTCGTAAGGATGACTATGGCCATGTAGCCCAGCCCCAGGTGCCCATGGGCAGTAGCACGGTGGATTTGAACCGTTCTCAGCCGGAGAGGTTTCAGCCGGAACCGTATGGGCTGGAGGATGATAGGCGGAGCATGGGAGCGGAAGAGGAGGAGCCGTACGAGCTGGAGCCGGATTACTCCACCGCAAACAGGCGCACACTGCAGTCGGCCAACAGGGGGCGCACTCACAGGGAACCGCTACGGGATGGACCCAGAGTCAGGTAAGACTAGTACATATACAGTTATAGTTCTACAAATGAAAGTTGGTACAATTATTTTGGGTGTCAGTTTTTGCTACGGGTACTTTTTCTTTGTACTAGTGGGGAACTTTTTGTTATTTTTAAGATTTGCGCAGAAGAAGGTAGAATTAATAACTTCTATCACTGAATATAGCCACAAACTACTTTTTTCACAATAATGTACATTTACGGTATTTTTAGGAGAATACTTATAATTATTTTTCTATATTATTCTTTATTTTCTTCAGCAATATATCACACTTCAAAATGTGATGTTAAATTTGAGTGAATGTCAAATGAGGGCCATCTTCAACATTTTATTATTATTTTTGCAGAGTTTTGTCAGAAGACTTAGACATTTCCGCTATAAAGTGTAGCAAAGGTACATCATGTCACTTTTTTGGTGGGAGGATTCCACAGTATGGCATTCAAGTTTTGTCTCTTGCACTTATTTGAAATGAAGTGTATTTATTGCCAAACAAAAATACACTGAAACACATACTTTCTTACTGTGAGCAGGTTCACCTCTCCATAGCTCTAACCTGTAACATTTCAGGCAAATTAATAACTTATTTATGGAGACAAACATTTAGCAGACCTTTCACCAGAAAAGTTCCGTAGTGCACCTTTAAGGACTATATTTGATGTCTGATAACTAAAATAATAGTCATACTATCCTGAATGCATAGGATTTAGCTATACCAGTATCCAAGGAGTGGCCTATTTTGTTTTGGAGCATATGGATAAGAAATGACATAGTTTTGGGGACTTATCTTACACGATTCCAAGTGATCCTGCCTCTTAAAAACAGTTTGTTGTTTCCATAAAGGGGCTCAATTACACTGTGCAGAACTAAACAGCTGTCTCTTCCTCCAGAGCGAGTTGCTTGGGAGAAAAAAAACAAGCGAAAACAAGGCTTTGATTGCTATTTACCCACAAATGGATGGTGAACATGTGTTAGTGTCAGGGGCCAAAGAGGCGGGGATGATTGGAGACAGAATCGTGATGAGAAAGTAGAAAAGGAGCCGGGGATTATGGGTAGGGCAGAGCGAGGGACTTTTGTGGTAGCGCAATCTAAGTAAGCCTCTTCATGTAGTGCAGGTGTCCAGATGCAGACTTTAAAGGTACTGTCCCCTATGATAGAAATGGTTCCAATATGATCCTCTACATGAGCTGAATTCAACAATAAATTTCCCAGGTGGGCTATACATTAAACAATATTCTAAACTAAACTGTTACAGAGATCAGATCATATTTCAGTTGTATAATGCTTAGACTGATAACAAATCTTGAAGTAGATATATTAATACAGAAATATACTGTAATAAACTATACTGTTGAACTACTGCCACTGTCACAATAACAATAATCTAAAGTAATGCAATAATCAAGTAGACAAGTAGACAAGTAGACAAGTAGACAGTATCATTTAGAGGCATGAGCTGCAACAAATAGCATTTTACAGTTCGAATGTTATTGTATTACCACAAAATACCCCAAATCAACAATAAACAATAACATATTGAGATACTGACACTACTAGGGATGGACATTCGATTCAATTTTCTTAATCGGGAGACTTAACGATTGATTTTCGATTAATCATTTACGTTTTTATATTAAAAAGTATCATCATTATTATTACGGTTACTAATCTGCATAAATAAACTCAACTTTATAACATATAAACCATAACCACTAATAGAGCCACATCAGCCCGTTTGAGATTATATTGTGTTTAATGCATCTTTGTGCGCATTTGTTTATATTTTACAGAAACAAAACTTAAAACCGCATGGCTAATTTGCATAAACTATAAGAGGAAAAAAAAGCTCTTTCCTTGTGCAGCCTTTGTCGGACTAAAGGACACGACTCAGTGGAATATAGGTGTTCTTTCTGTGACAGAGGGATGTTGATGGTGCTGATGGTGAGTCTGTTCTGTGCGTGTGTCACATTGGAGATGGGTCATGTTTTCGGAGGTCATACGAGTGCAGGTTTATCTCAACTCTTTATGCTGCGGTAACCGGGATAAGGTGTATACATCTAGCTATCATATACTGAACAATAAGTCAATTAAGTAATTTTTGTGACCGACCTAATAATTGACTTGGTGTGGTTTGCGCAATGATGAAGGCTAAAGACTTCCATTTGTGGTAACACCGTGAGCTGTAACTAGATTATATGCACAGTATTTATTATTTATTGAATGCATGTTATGGCTAATTGTTATACTTTTTTGAAAGTAGGATGCTCCTTTCCGGAACATCTATATTTTTTGCTCCAATGCCCTCCCATTTGCAAGAAGTGGTGGAAGACATGTACTGTATGCTCTTTCCTGATGGGTTTCAGATGTTATCACAGCATTCTATAGGCCAGGACTAATGAATACAGATGGGGGACAGCAGAAATTAATATTGTTATGCTGTAATGAGGTCCAGGGTTTTGTCAGTAATTGAAAATACCAGGTTCAACATTTGTTAATTTATCTTTTGGATATTTAATAGCAAAGTACAATGGAATCAATAGGAAAATCTGTCCCTCCATTTGGGAGTATAACATCACATTCTTGAACCTGAAAACCACCAATATGTGAGAGATGGAACGCCTACTAAAAGATATTCCCTTTCAAACTGTGATTCTATGTTGTTCGCTGTCTGCCACAAATCACTTAGTCATAGTTTGTGCTTTGGCCTGTTTCACACTCATGTTGTGATCTGTTACTGCCACTACAGAGGGCAGACTGACACACAAACACAGTGATTCAATACATCCACATCATGTCGAGAGAATGAGTCACTCCCCCATTTACTGAGAGAGGCGCCGCTGTGACAGGCAATCTACGTTGTGCCTTACATGTGTCACAACACTGCCTGAACAACTGCGCTCCATCACCGCTATAACCTCACATGTCTTTCAAGTGGATGGAGGAAAACTACCAATGGTCTATGGTGAGGTACTCTGGAAATGGACAGTTAGATGCGGGGCTGACTCATTCCTTGACATTTAGATAAAAAAATAATAAAAATTCTCAATACCTGCGTCTATCTGCTGCAAGTAGAGGTGGGAGATATACTCAGACTATCATCCACAATAAAAAAATGATTGAAAAGACTGCCGCAAGAGCTACGTGCAAATAAAACACAAACTTGCAGTGTAATCTAATCTTAGAGACAAGAGTCTGCACTTTTGGGGGTAATTTTACCTGCAGGCATGTTTTGGCAAGATTTGGAAGGATTTCAAAAACAGCAGCCTCATATGTATGAAACACATTAACCCTGTTGTTTTGAAGTGCAAAATATTGCTGAAGAAAATGCAAACTATATTATGCCAGTGACACGAAAACATTAAGCATTATCTAAAAAAAAATATGAATAATAATAAATAAATATACAATATTGTTAAAAAAAAAACAAAAAAAAACAACTCAAGACACAAGGTACAAGAGCGAGTCAGACAGGTGGAAGAGATGATGCGCTGAGGAAGATGGTAGTTTGACTGTGTTATTTTGCGCTTCATGCACACACCGTCCTCATGGAAAACATGAAGAAATGCATATGATGCAGTTGCAATTGATCTGGCTGTCGAAGAAGGAAAAAGAGCTGCTGCGCGTAAGCTTGGCATCAACCATGGGCATCAATGAATCGATGATGAGATGTTGGTGACAGCAGCCTGATGAACTGACTCTTTGCAAAAAGACGACAAAAGCTTTCAGAGGCAATAAAAGCATAACTTGAAAACATTCTTGAAGACATGGACACCTGCGGCTTATAGACAAATGTGGCCTAGATATGTGCATTTTTTGTTTTTTCTTTTAAAATTTAGTTGATGCAGGTTATATTCAGGTGTGCTCAATAGTCCGGAAATTATGGTAGTATTCTTCCAAGAAAAGAGATGGATAGTACCAAAGTGGCGTAATGAATCTGGGGGTTAAGACACTTTAATTACAGCTTATCTTTGCAACGCAAGCCCTCAATTAGGCACTGACAAAAATGAAGATGTTTTGCACGAAAAATGCTTCCCAACTCACCGCATTGCATTAATTTCTCAGAGCTGAGAGTCTGTGTGTGCGTAACCATGTGGATAGAGATGATAAAAAGATGAGATTCTCTGGATGTAAAGGCATTCTTCGCTCTCTTGGTTAACGTCTTGGGATAATTGATTTCAGCTCAAATGGAAGAAAATTGCAGAATAGACGAGTATGAAAATTAGCTTTGAAACCAGCCGGAGCATTTAAGGGTTTAGTGGAGTACTCGACTGTGTTTAGCATTTTGTGATTGTCACTCATAAATGGAGAGAGTGCATTTACATATTTTAACATATTGTGTTAAATTAGCCTTATAATGCAGACTTAATAGCTTTTCATTGTCGAGTTGGAAATGTTGAGTTTATTTTTGGAGCCATCTTTTTTGTCATCCTGACATAAGAGCTGTTAGAAGAAAGGTTCCTACTTGTACATTTGTTTTGCGTTATTAATTAAAGATAAGTGTTATTATAGGTACAAGCATGTGTGGATTCATGCTACTTGTGAAGCACCACATTCGGATTACTGTAACACATCTCAAAACATGGTTATTCAGGTGATATAATAGTTAGAACTAGAATTTATAATTTTTACAATTTTTAAAGTTGCACTATGTATCTTTTTGGTTGGGGGGTCTGTCGTCTGTTGTTTCTGTGGATATGTTATTGCTTTGCCTGGAATGTTCCACAGTATGACATTAAACAGCTCTACCTTACATTTATTCAATTACAGGTGGTTTTATAGCTCAAAAATACCTATAGAAATAGGCATTCTGACTGTGAGCAGGATTGCCTCTCCACAGATCTGGCCTGTAACTTGGTCTGGTTTGGTATCTTTATGAAGATTGAAAGTTTTAATGCCATACTGTGAAACATTCCAAATAAAGCAATAACATCTCCATGGAGAAACGTTACACAATCCACCTTTACAATTATTTCAGTTTAATCTAATATGCTGAAAA